TCTTTTGATTTTCATACTTTGCTTTTGTCTGATTTTGTGGCTAATTTTTTGCAGGACTCCAGAGCTCAATTTGCATTGGCTTGTTCAACTTTGTTGGTTAAGTATTCTTAGCTAATTTTTTTGTTCGATTTGTATATTAAGCGTCAGTATGTATTAAATGCTTGTTGAATACACTTTTGGTTTCTATAGGTAGTGATTGATTATCAGTTCATGTTTTGTGGTTTCAATTTACTGAGGCGGGCTTTTGTCTATCTTTGGATTATTTTTCCTCTTTTGATTTACATAGCCCCTGTTTGACATACTTTTTGAAGAAAAAATAAATTCTGAAATAGTGATTGATGGAAGAATGTGTGGTTAAAAAGTAATGAGAATTTTTGGATTTATGTGTAGTATTATTTTATTGATAGAATGTGCAGTTGAAATGAAGAAAGAAAAAAAAATGAGAATGAGAAAAAATGAATGTCAAACAGAGGCTTAATGTCACTGTAGCGGGATTGAACTATGTAACTTGATGTGTTAGACTCGATTAGAAGAAGAAGAATTTGAAAATTTTACAAATTTGTGAAGCATGAAGAAAGAATCCTCCATAGTGATAAAAGTTTATTTTTTGAGTAAAGCCAATTTCTTCTTGTCAATTCATTCACGAGCAGGTAATCTCATCATGTGAATGAAGTAAACAAAACGTTGACAGTCAGCCTACTTTCTGCATGTGACAGACAGACAATGGGTTCATTTTGCACCACTGACAAGTTAATCAATCGAAATAAGGAGTTTCCTTGTAGGCATCAATCTTCTCTACGTTTTTAAGCGTCAATTTTATTGTTAGAAAACCAAATATAATCCAATAAAAAGACACAACACGCTTATTAACCATTTAATACTCAAGTCGAGCCCTCAAATTGTCTAGCATCGAAGGGCCTCTGTTGACAAACGTAACGTATACATGTAGTATTTCGTAGGTTGGTTCTTGGATCGGGAGATTTTCACGCATTCGACAGTTGAGCAATTTCAACATTTATGCTCACATTTTTTTTTATTGTTAATGGCTTAATGCCATGGAGAAATCCTGTCGTATGCAAAGTTTGAAGAAGATAACCGAAAATCATTCAATAAGAACAAAAGTGGGAATTTTGTCGTTCACATGTGACACAGCAGAGGAAAAGAGGTCTAAAGAAGTTCTCGTGTACTCTGTGGGGCCCTTTAACTGTTTCTTATGTGGTGACTAAAGTGGTAATAGCCTCATATTCTGATAAAACCCTTTTCACACCCCAATTTATCTCCAACATTTGAATGGATGAACCACAATTTCAGTTTTGGACTTGCCTCATCGTTAAGTAAGAGGGTCATCAACTTTAGGTAGAGGAAGCCACCTCCTATTTGACACACAGAATAGTCGATAGAAGAGTGAGAAATATAGAATCATAAGCTTTTAGCATTGCGACAACATCGGAAGAATGAGATTTCTCTATGGAGCAAAGACTCCGGTTTTTGTTTTTGAAGGAATTGAGTCTTTGATAATAAAGAAAAAGAAGTTAACATTATTGGACAGTAAATAAATAATTTCAATACTCCATAGTATCATACAATCTGCCCAACAAGTCACGAGGGTATAATAGCATATAATAAACTTTTGAAGCCTATATAAACTGCTCAAACTGAGCAATAGATTCCTAGAATATCATATACCATGAAAACTTCACATCCAGTTTCCTTCCTCCCTTTCCTCTTTACAAGTCTACTCTTCCAACTCCAACAAATTCCAGCTCTAGAAGACTCCTCCAGCACCACCACAACGACCTCCGTCGCGCAGCCAACTCCTGCTGCCACCACCGCAAGTAACACAGATTTTATCCGTACAAGTTGTGAAGCAACATTATACCCCGAGCTATGTTGCAATTCCCTCGTACCCTACGCCAATGCCGTGCAGCAAGACCCTAGTCGACTTGCACGTATTGCCATCAGCGTTAGCCTAACCGAAGCCAAACTCATTCCTGCTTATGTATCAAATCTGACACACCAAGTCGAGAATGGGACAGGAGGCAATACCCGGGAGGTGAACGCTCTACATGACTGCGTTACTGTTTTTAGTGATGCAGTCGAGCAAATACGTAGCTCGCTCAAGCAACTTGGCCGGTTGGGAAGCCCTGGCCCGACGTTCGTTTTTCAGGTGAGCAACGTTCAGACGTGGATGAGTGCTGCTTTGAGCAACGAGGAGACATGTACTGAAGGATTTGGTGATGTGCCCGACGGACCGATAAAAAGTGACATATGTAATCGAGTAGTCAAGGTGAAGGAAATGACTAGCAATGCTCTGGCTTTGGTTAATAGTTATGTTGCCCGTGAGCTGTGAATGTGTATTTCTCAAAGATTAGGTTAGGTTATTATTATTTCTAAAAGATAGATATTGTGATTCGAAGTGGCATGTTCATTGATGTGGTCAGTGGTCTGATTTACCAAACAATGGCTAATTCGTGTTCTATTGATTCTGGGTTCCGTTTCAACCCAAGCCGGAATGACAAATTGTGATGCAGTATTTGACAATACCACCTAAACATGTTACGCATTATTCTATTGCTATCGTAACGTACATTTATTTCAACTGGTTATACGTCCCCTTCTTGACTTTTTATCCTAATTAATAAATTGGTACAAGTCTATGCCAAATTTCCTTTCCCTTCAAGTGACCATGAAAAAAAAGTCCATTTAACATGAATCGAACAATTTATGCTGTGGCTACACTTTATTTCTACAAAACATTGTAATCAAAATACGTTGTTTGAAGGAGACACATGACCATAACTCGATACATATTTTCAATTTTTCTGAACTTGTAAACTATAAACTTCTCGTAGATGCGCACTATCCTTACTCGGACAAGTAAAAAAGGCAAATACCCATGCTTCAATCCGACCTTCGAGAATGACATTAAAATGCTTTTCTATCATTCACAACTTCAACTGAGGATCTAGGAAGTGTCGATATTAGGTGAACCCTTTGTCTCGACTATTGTAGCACGTGCAATGCCCAAGCACTGCCATTTGCACATCTAAAGGATAAAACACGGCATTTCGATTTTCCTACAATGCAACAAACTTAAAAGACATGAATTGTAATTTCCAGTTTAACTCACTGGGGTGGATCAATTAGATATATTTTTGCAATCATACTTAACAATAATGGTTGACAACTGTTTGTATTGTCAAAATCTGGGCCATTGATTTAAAAACAGTTTTTTAAATGGATGAATGTCATGTTACCAAATGTAAGTAATCAACCAATATTGTCAAACTAAATTATACATGTAGCATGATTCATTAAAAAAACTTTTCGGTGATAAAAAGCAACAGTGCCGCATAAATAAAAGATTACAAAATAGAAGTGCATAAAAAAGTACGAATATCTTATGTTTGGTGCCCAGATTTTACAAAATTCTGCGTCGGCAGTTAAGTATCAAATCCACATTATTCCAATCAAGAGCCCATTATGTAAAGGATGCATTTATAGAGAACTCTATAAGTTCTGATTGTGTGCAGGTTCTCTAGTATCCACACAATCAGAAATAGGAATTAATTTCTTATTGAGTAACAAACACAAATATCATTTAGTAGCATGTCTATGTAATGACAGACGGGGCGGATCGACCACTGAATTCTTGCATCTTAGATAGCTTAAGAGCAACCTCAACCTGCAGCCAAATTGAACCAATTGTAACACAGAGAGAGAGAGAGAGAGCAGGAATCACAAAGCTGCATGCGTGATGTATTACCAGAGGAGCAAGTGCTTCTTGAAAATCTCTTCCTATCTTGGACGAATCCTTCTCGTATTGCTCAATATAAAGACGGATGGTAGCCCCCTCTGAACCAGTTCCAGAAAGACGGAAAACCTGGAACATTATCAACATTGGATATGAGACATAACTCTCTCAAGAAAAATGTAAAAGGAGACTAGAAAATCTCTTATCACGCCATCCTCTATTTACTTGCTTATTTATAGTTCGGCTACAAATGCAATCCCAGGATCATGTTAGGATTCAACCGTGGTAAATCAAGCAAGTTTTGAAACATCATAAAGATGATGCGGCCAAAATGTTAATGGAAATATTGCTAGGAGGGAAGAAAATTTTTACCAATCGAGATCCATCTTCAAACAGATACCGGATGCCCTGATGCTTTGAAATGGAACCATCAACAGGATCTTTGTACTCAAATTCATCAGCATTGACAACATTCGATACATCCGATCGTATTCCCTTTATTATTCTGTAATAATGAAAGAGCGTAAAATCTACGCAAAAAGAAATATTTTTCCAGAATTGAGTACCTAAATATCATCGTAAAAAAATTCACTCAAAAAAAAATCCATATCAATTACAGTCATCGACAAGAGTTTCAACGCATTGATCCAAATTTGTTGTAATTTTGTTTGCAGTTTTAACTCAACGGAGTACATGTCTTCTTAGCCAGGGAAAATGATCAAGATTTCATCAAATACTTGTAAAAGATATGCACTTACTCTAGGCATAAAAATATAAACGAGATTATAATTTAATTTTCACCCATAATTATTCATTTCAATTTAGGAAATTTTCTAGTTTGTTATTTAGCAATTTTCCAATGTTGTAGGATTTTTTGTATAAATAGGACTAGTTCTGAAATAATGTAGGCCATTGTTTTTATATATATTTAATGATATTGAAATTCCCCTCCACATTTTTCTCTCAATTCTCCAATTATTCTCCTCCTGTCTTTTCTTCTCTGTCTCTTTCATTCTCTTCGTGTCTTATGAGTATTGTCACATGCCAATACAAGAAGATAGCCTACAGCTGCAAAATATACATTGCAGGAACTACAAAGAGATTGGTCATGTGGGTAAAAAACGTCTTTTAGATAATCAATTGAGACAACTCATTTCATCTTATTGAAAAACTCCATTAGAAATTATACCATATCCATATGAACAAAGACTTGAATAGTTCTCTGCATCCTTGAGCTTTCCATCTTTCTGTCCTCAAATTACTTCTTTGAGGTGCGATTTTGGGAGAATGATCTATTAGATGCTCGACCTATAACTACTCTCAACAAATTTCAGTGTAGGTAATGTTGTCCATGTTCTCGGAGAAGAAAATTAGGTATTGAATAACTCCCTCAGACAAGAATTAATAAGTCGAGATCATGGTTAAAAATTTGTCAACAGTTGTTTAAAATTTTACTTCCAGTTCATTTACTATATAAATTTCACTACAAGAAACCACACCAGAAACTCAAAGCGTAGTCTACAAACAATACCCAGCACAAGCCATTTAACCATCTTTCCTATATAAAATATACAATTTTTATTGTCATTCCGTCCCTAGGCAGTAACATGTAGGATGAAAAGAAAACACGCAAATGATGTGACATCAATAGTCTAACGGAGCTGAAAGAAAAGATATATTTATAGAACTGCAAAAAGGATACCAACATTCAGAGCACACAGCACTCGTGAATGTGGAAAAATTAAACATTGACAGGTTTTTTAATTTTTAGGCAACCAGTAGAAGGGATTGGAAGAGAACAATTTCATTAACAGAGAAGATGATCCTATAGCATCAAGTCCACTTCTTACATATATATAATTGCATATGCATACTTCAAATGCAAACTGACGCAATTTGCAGATATCCATGCATGCAAACCATGCTTTTCACGTGAAAATAAAATGTATTTTAAGGCAATTATGACAGGACATAGGCTCTTGTATGTTTAACTTCATATATTTAGATCAAGTATTATCGAACATGAAAAGAGAAGCATACTTGTTAACTTCATCAAGGGAGGATTGTAGCTTGACCAAATGTGCCATCAGTTCCTTTGCACAACCTGCATCAACATTCTTGAAGAAGCAACAGAGTTTGAGCTCAAAATGATGTTCCACAGATATAACACTCTTTCTTATTACAAGAAATAGTAAGTAGGACAAATTGCATATCATGCGTACTTCATAATCATATCGAGCGTAATAGTGGCGTCCATAAGTAGCCCAGTGCTGGCGAACAATGTCTTCAACAGTCACAAGCTTCTCTTCCCCAAGGTTATCTTTATTCTTATAGGCCAGAATAGATAGCCAAGCCAAAACAGCCCAGATTCCATCTTTCTCACGTATGTGGTCGGAGCCTATTAACATTGAACCAGAAATGATTGAAAAAGGCATCAAATTGAATGGAATGCTTGCAGTAAAAATGCCAATAATTCTTATTTATCATTTGCAGGAAGGAACACGCATATCCTACCAGTTCCAAAACTTTCTTCACCACAGACTGAACACATTCCAGCATCCATCAAGTTACCAAAGAATTTCCAGCCAGTGGGCACCTTAACAGAGATATAATATTAAGCCTCTAAAACTAATCGCAGACAAAAATTCTAAATTTCATGTACTAGTACCTCAAAATATTTCAAATTCAATTGTTTAGCAACAACGTCAAGAGCAGCTGAAGTGGGCATGCTCCTGCAGGAAGAAGAATATTAATGGTGAATTCACATCTAAAAGAAAAAACTGACCAACCATAATATTAATTGACTAAAATTTCAAGATGCAAAAATTAGGCAGTGCCCATGTACAGAAACACGTGCATGAATAAGAAGACAAACACTCCATAGATTATGGAAGTGAAGAAAACTAGAATAGAACCTTGCCACTCCTTTTAGGCCCCCAGAAAAGTAAGGTATTGCTTGAACAGCATTTGCAGCAATTATAGCAACAGAATCAGATGGAGTAACAAAAAACCTGCCATCACAATACAAGTAAAAAAGGTGATTCAGGGATGAAAGTAGATTGAAAACCAAATTAATATAAGAGGAGGTTACCTTTTCCCAAGGATCATATTGCGGTCTGCATCTCCATCGGCAGCAGCACCAAATTCCGGAGGCTCCTGTTCTGAGTTTGTCTTACCCAGTCCCATACGTGCAACTAACTCTTTTGCATAGGTCAGATTGGGATCTGGATGCCCTCCACCAAAGTCTTCCTGCCAGTGTCATGTTATGAGAAATAAACAGTGGAAAGGTGCAATAAAAAGAATATATCGAACTATAATTTTCTTAAAGCATGTTCTTGGAGAACAACGCAAACACCTTAGGTACACAATTAAGTAGACAGCTTTCATCTGCACCCAGCTCTTCCACAAATATACGTTGAGCATATGCCCCAGCAACTCCATGTAGTGCATCATAACTAATATATGAAAACAGAATTTATGCAATCAATCATTATTTGATGAGAGTACAAGAAAGAAGAAACTATTATGCACATGACATGAAAGCAAGCATACATACCAGAAAGTGAATTTCGGAGATGTAAGCAACTTCTGAATAG